CGGAGGGGCCGGGCCGGGCCAGGCCGGGCCCGGGTTGCGTGAGGCGAGCGCCGCGGGGGCCCCGCGCATCCCTGCTCTCCCCTCCTTCCCCCTGGCCGTCCTCTCCCTGAGCCCCGCCACCTCCTGGCGACGGGACAAGTCCTGCACGCCCCGAGTCCAAAGGGCCGCCATTCGGAGGGCGCCTCGAGCCGAAAAAGGCCGAGACCCTCCCGCTACAGGGCGGGAGCTTTGAAGTGGGGTTTCCTCGTCGACGCCAGATGCCACGGCTGTGCCGGCAGAAACACCGTTATCCCAGGACAAAATGGTCAGATGTCCCTGCGCGCTGGCCTGGGCTAAATCCTAAAAAAACCTGGTTCCCAGGGCGAGGCATAGGAGCAGGTTGTCACAGAGTGCGTGTGAAGGGGATCCAATGGAGGGCAGGATCGCAGGGTGGCAAGGGCGACGTGGGTCCGCACCCATCCCGGGACAGTTCAGTTCGGGGAGAAGCACGGGTGCGACTTGTCTAGAGCCAAGTGCAATGTCTGAGCCTTGCAGGACCCGAAGTAAAACTGGAAGAGGCCTCCTGGATGGTTGTGAGCTGCCTCCTTTTATCACAGGCAACATGCCAGACCCTCATCCCCTCCAGAAACTTGACAAACTCCATTTCGAAAGCTGCCACTACTCTGACTGGAAAACCGTCCCCAAACATCAATGCTCTGGTGACTAAAAGTTTTCTGGAGTAAATATACTCATGATCCTTTATACTCTTATATCCTTGGCACGGACAATGGCTTGCTGCGGAAATATTCCTGTCCATCCCCGCCCCGCATGTAAGCGGGTGCCGTTCCCCTAAATGATCTTTGTTTTCCGAGGCTAAACAAGCCTTGCTGCTTTAACCTGCTCACCAAAAAAAATCAGATCATGCAGCATCCTAGCTGCTGGTTCGTGCACCTGTTCCAGTTCCACCGTAGCTTTCTTGAACACGGGCAGCTGGAATGAGATGCGCTACTCTAACTGCAGTCTCCTCAGGGCCGCGTGCACTAGCATTAACGCTACTATAAAAAAACCCAGGGCTTTATTACATTAAAGAGTACACACACAATGAGAAAAGGAGACATAGCTCATTTTCCAGGATTATTACAGGATACAACAAGTGGAA